AAGTGCGATGACGTCCTAAGGTTGCTGTTAATTTAATAAACGATAAACAAATGTCCAGCACGTAATAATACAGGAGATAAACGCGTGACGCGATATGAATGATGAAAAGAGGAGGTGATAGAAGAGAGTCAGACGACACAGGTCACAAAGTAGAGCAGTCTCTGCGAGCGGTCTCTTTTCCTCCAAAATCCGTAGCGAAGACCGCAAAACAAGTAAGCGTGCGAGCGTGACTGTAAGCGTGACGTGCGACAAAAAACCATACGGAATATCCTAGTTGTAATCCCTCTTTATCTCTAACTCCCCAACCCTCATTCCCACCACTTCCGGGTGTAACGAGGAAATCGATGTCGTCAACTCTTCTTATTCATGTCAACTTGTTGACAACTTAGACAAAGGTGTTTTTTCTGTTAGTGTCATAGCCCGAAAATTTGAATAAATATCTTTCCTGTTGCACATGACTTTCCGTTTTAATTACCAGTTAGTCCGACAGTTGCTAGCCTGCAGACGCTCTTTGGGCTCGTCACGTAACCTTCCTAATCCACGTTCGTGGGGAGGAAGATTGCATGACGAGTGGAAAGGATGTCTGCGTAACAGGCTAGACACCCGGGCTGGAGTGACTCCCATGAAAAAAATTAGGTGTTCGTCGGAAATTTAAAAAAAAGAGCCCTAAAGATGTGCCAAAATCCTGTTTTGTTGGCGTGGCTTGAAATGTTTTTCACCCCTAAGGTACGAATTCTAAAGCAACACTTTATCTCCAGTCATATTTTTTTCGGCTCGATACCCTAAAAGGTACTGCAAACGCTCCCGCTAGGGACCTTTTAAGGTTGAACACCCTATAAATTTGAACACCCCATATAATTTTTGAATTTTCTTCCTCTTTCTTTCTCCGCTTGTTTCTGTTCATTGTTTTGTTGTCCACCGCCCTGCAATAACTATTATACTTCTAATATACATACTGCTGTCAATTACCCTTTCTCTTATGTCAGCATCTCCCGTAACAATCTTGGTTTGCAGTATGAAACCTGGGGTTAATGTCTACTTCCGACATAATCGTTGTTTACTGTTGTTGTCAAATTCTGTGTGTTTCATGATCGCTCCACCAGCAGCTTTCGGATCAATATGGTTGTTAAAGTATGCTGGTTCTGCTCTTGCTGTAACCATTTCATCAGCCTTTGCATTTCTGCTCTCTGAAGAAAATCTTCCGTTTGTGGCTTGTTCTGTTCTTGTTTTGTATTATTTTTGGAGTAGCTACA